GAACATTTTTATTGTGTCAAAAAACACTCTGGGTACTTCATTTCATTTGATTTTTTTACAAACTGATGAGGCAGGTAATACTGTCCTCATTTTACTTATTGAGGCTTAGAGGTTAAATAACTTACATAAAGCCACACTGCTAATAAATAGCAGACAAGAGATTCAAATTCTGGATTGTATTGTTTCTAGTGCCGGACTTCTTAACTATTACTACTGCTCAACCACACTTGATAAATGAGGAGCTTAAGACTCCAAAAGGCAACTTATTCAAGTTCACACAGCCAAAAATGGCAGAACTGAGATTTAAACCCAGGTCTCCACAAAGTATTAGACTAAATCGTGTGAATTTGCTGATACTCAACTGTTCTGATGTATAAAAAGGTCAGTTTCATATAGTTCAGTTGTCATACTTGCTCTTTGCACTAGACCATATAATCCTTGAGTGAATATGGGGTCTAGATTAAAAGCAAGAAGAGAAAGAGGGGCATAAGGAATTGTCAGAGGAGAGATAATCTGGATAGGTAAGGTAACACCTGCCAATGGAGAGTCAGGAATGCCAGGGTGGGACTTTCAGGAATGATCCATTAAACAACCAGTAAATGAACATTTGTATTCTACAAACTGCTGCTATTTAGAATAAAGCAGTCTTCAAACACAGGGTCTGGCTTTGTGCCCAAAGAACCAAGGATGTAGCAAGAATGAACATATGATATTGAAGGGAATCTCAGCAGGGCCCTAAAGGATGAAGAAGAATTAGGAAGGAGGAGAGAAGAACAGAATGAGCATTGTTATACACAGGGCACCTTTCTAAGCGTGGCATGAATAAACTAAGGTTTTAGAAAGACCAGTCAGATATGGAGTTGAAAATTGTTTATGGTGTAGGAAAGCTTTTTGGAATTTCTGAAGCAATTTCAATAGGTACCCAAGATGAAAGTAATTTCCATCAGTCTTTTCTTCACAATTATATTATGATTAATTTCTGAAATTGTTATAAAAGTGCCTTTTACTTTTTAGTATCCTCAATCCATTGTGAGTTTTCAAGGCTTAAAAGAACTCTGGCAGTGAGTGGATAAAATACTAAAAGTTACCACATCTTTAACCCAGCCCCACCCCCTCTCTAGATAAAGAAAGCAAGACTTCTTGAAGTAAACTAAATCAGACATTGTACCATAATTAGAACTCACATCTGCTAATTTCTACTCAAGGGAACTTTCTACTACTATTGCCCCTCATTTTACTTGATGCAATCTTTGAGTGTTTCTGTTGAAGACTTTTTTGAATTTATGTACTTTTTATATTCTTAATTCCATATTCTTTTTTGAGTCTCCTACAGAGTATTCAGTAACACTTTAAGAAAAAAAAAGGTGCTTTTTTAAGAAAGAATCTTACAAAATCCATTTAACTCATATGTCCTTTGAGAGTTTTTAATATATGAAATATTAATACATAGATAAGAGTATATGTAATATGTAAGTTATGAAGCCTGATAATAAAACGAACACTCATGAATCCGTCCACCCAGCTTAAGAAATGGAACATGATCAATTCCCAGGAGTCTCCCTGTGTGCTTCTTGCCTGTGACCTCTGTCATCCACCAGCCTACAGTGCCATTTTCTGTGCTACCACATTTCTAGACTTTTTATAAATACCATTTCTCTGGTTAAGAAACTATCTTCTCTTAAATGGAATTCAAGTTTGTTAAATGTAGTTTCATAAATGGCTGTTAAATGTTGTCAGATGCTTTTTTATGCATCTATTGAGATTTTTCTCCTTTAATCTGTTAATATGATGAATTGGATTAATAGAATTCCTAGCATCCTCAACTTTTCAAATTATCTTTATTGTTTTTACACTGCCAAATTCCGTTTGGTAATATAATATTTAGGACTTTGACTTTTGCATCTATTTTCATCAGTGAAGTTGGCTAGCAGTTTTTCTTATTCTGTTCTTGTTTCTTTTTAAAATCTTTTTTTTTTTAATTTTTTTTTTAAAGATTTTTTATTTATTTGAGAGAGAATGAGAGACAGAGAGCATGAGAGGCAGGAGGGTCAGAGGGAGAAGCAGACTCCCTGCCGAGCAGGGAGCCCGATGCGGGACTCGATCCCGGGACTCCAGGATCATGACCTGGGCCGAAGGCAGTCGCTTAACCAACTGAGCCACCCAGGCGCCCTCTGTTCTTGTTTCTTAATCAGGTTTACTGCCTTTACAGAATGAGTCAGGAAGTGTTTCTTTTTTCCAGAGTAATTTCTTTAAGTTGGAAAGTGTTTTATAGAACTCACCTGTAAAATTCTCTGGGCTTGGTATTTTCTATAATGTGTAGAAACTTCAGTGATTTAGGGGCACCTGGGTGGCTCAGTCAGTTAAGCGGCTGCCTTCGGCTCGGGTCATGATTCCAGGGTCCTGGGATCGAGCCCCATGTCAGGCTCCCTGCTCAGCGGGGAGTCTGCTTCTCCCTTTGCCTCTGCCTCTCCCCCTGTTTGTGCTCTCTCTCTGTCAAATAAAGAAATAAAATCTTAAAAAAAAAGAAAAAGAACCTTTGTGATTTATATATTTTTTGGAATTTGTCTATTTCACTTTATGAATTTTTTGTTTTATTTTTAATTTACTAAAACCACTAAATTATAGTATTTTCTCATTCTTATTTTGTTATTTTTGAGGGGAGGCTGATGACTTTGTTCCTTTTCTAATTTTATAAGTTAAATCCCTATCTTGTAAATTGTCACTGCTTCTAATTTTTTTCATCTAAATACTTGGAATTAAGTATATTTTCTCCAAGTGCCTCTGCAGTTGCATCCCACAGGTTTTACTGAGTTTCATGGTAAAAATCAGTTCAAATACTTTCTCATTTCCACTTTGTTTTCTTTGAACAATGAGTTATTTAGAAGTGTTTTTAAATGTCCAAATATATGAGACTTTTAAGGTTAATTTTGAGTCAATACAAAAATATATGGTTTATATAATACTATATTTTTTTTTAACTTTTTTGAGATTTGCCTTATAGCTAATACATGATCAGTTTTCATAAATGTTCCATGGTGCTTAAAAAGAATGCATATTCTCCAGTTTTTAGGTATAGGGTTCATTGATATGTTTAGATCACGCTTGCTTCTTACGGAGTTCAGGTTTTACTGGTGTTGTATTTTGTTTTTTTTGGTCTGCTTATATTGTTTACAGAGGAGTATTAAAATACTGCACTATAGTAGTGAATATGTCCCTTTCTCCTTGCAGTTTTATTGCTGTATCTGTTTGGAAGCTATGTATTGATATAGCGTATCTTGTAATAGGTAGAGCATATAAATTTTGAATTGTTGTTACATAATGAATTGATCACTAATCATTTTATCTCTTGTAATTTTTTTTTTACCCGAAAATGTATTCTCTCTCATATTAATATAGCTACATAACTTTATTTTGGGTAGGTTTACCTGATTATCTTTTTTCATCCTTTAACTTCCTGTTTACTCTGTGAACTAGGTTTGTCTCTTAAAAGAGCATTTAATCCAGCCTGACAGTCTGATTTTTTAAATATCTTAACTGAATAATTTAATCCATTTATATTATGGTTACTGATAAATGTGTTCCTTCTTATTTTATGTTTTCTCTTATTTCCCTTTTTGCTCCTTTTTTGCCTTCCTTTGAATTGAACAAATATATTTCTCATTCCATTATTTGTCTTTCTAATTTGGGAATCATATATATTATTACTTTTAGTAACTACCTGTGAAATTTTAACACTCATACTCAACCTAAAGTTAATATCTTTACCCTCATCTTCAACAATATAAGGATTTTTAAATCAGTGCTTCTCTTGCTTATGCTATTGTTATTCAGGCTGTAATACTGTCTTATTTATTTGTTTGCTTGGTAAAATTAGTCATGTTTCCATTGTTTAATATTTTCTGTGTATAGATTCATCCTTATGTTTACCAGTATTCCTGATTGCAACTTGGCCCTTCAATCAGGGAAAATTTTTTCTTATCCCTAAAGTACATGCTTCAGAAATTGTTATGATAAGAGCTTATGGATGGTAGAATCCGTTTTTGCTTGTCTAAGATTGTTATTTTGACCTTATTTTGACCTCATTCTTTACATTTTTGTTGGCCAAACAATTCTAGGATGGTAGTTATTTTCTTTTAGCAGTTTAAAGATATTCCAATTTCTTCTGGCTCCCTTTTTGCTATTGAGAACCTAACTGGTATGGTTTTGTGGGTAATCTGTCTTTGGCTGCTTTCTGCCATCTTCTATTTGTCTTTGTTTTCTAGAATTTGACTATAATATGATCCATGTTTAATTCATTATTGTAGTTTTTCTGTTATTTTTTCTGCTTGGGATTGGTTGTGGTTAAGATTTGTTGTATCGTCCAGCAATTATGGAAATATTTTATGAATTCACAGTGGATAACATTTCTCCCCTCCATCCAGAGCCACTCCCAACACAGACAAATTTATTTGCTATCTGCTTTTATAGGATAGATCTTTCTTCCTAGTTCACTATTCCCCCAAGACTGAAGCCTTTCTTAGGTTTTAGCTTTAAGCACAGCAGTTCTCCACTCTCATTCCCATCCTACAAACGCCCAAGACTTTATGCCTATTCCTCTGAGTGCAGAATGTAGTCAAAACAAAAGCTCTAAGTCATTGGTGTTCAGTTGAAATTCCCAGGGCTAACAGTTTAAGCACTTCCTGGACTCCTAATCCTTTATTTCTGGTCTCAGAGCATTTCTCTTACTTTCTTGAAAGCTCATCAAATTTTAAGAGGTATTATGCATGAGTGCATATAAATTTTATATGTGTGTGTATACATATATGCATACACACGTTGTGTGTGTGTGTGTGTGTATAAAAATCTTAGAGGATTTATTTATTTTTTGCAAGAGTATTTCCGGACCTCTAGTGATAGAAGTGGAAGGCTATCCTTTGCTTTGTAATAAAAATTTTCTCTTATCTTTTTTTTTTTCACTTTTAAAAATCACATTTTGTTCCTCCAATCACTTCTTCCTATAGGTAAGCAGTAGGTCATCCAGTCCTAGCGTCAGAATGATCACTACCTCAGGACCAACTTCAGAAAAGCCAACTCGAAGTCATCCATGGACTCCTGATGATTCCACAGGTGACCAGTGTATTTCCTCACTATAATTAAGAAGCTGAATTCATCATATTTGTTTTCATTTATTTGTGTCATGACTCTGATCTTTATAAAGGCAGGCATTTTATAGTAGTTTAGATTTTCATATTAATAAAATCAAATATTTAGCAATAAACTTAAAGATGAGTTTTTGAGTACTGAGATAGATTGTCTTGCCTTCTGCATTTTTTCCCCCCAGATACTAAACATGTGTATTAAAGATGGTTTGGTTTGGGGTCACTACAGACAGGAAGATACTGTATTCTTGATACTTAAGTCTCTGATTTTCCTATTTTTGGTCCATCCTACGGATGATAGTAGTAAAGTTCATTATCTCTTAGATAACTAAAATCATAATGATAAAAATAATCATCATAATCTCAGTCTTTTGTTTTAAAGACACAAGATACCATGTACTTCAGTGAAAAAAAAAATTTCTGACCATTAACTTTTTGAATCATTTTTAACTGGTAGGGAGACTTCATTTCGGTTACATAAATTTCTGTTAACTAGACCTTAAAAGGCCTGTTAAATTACAACTCCCTAACATGAATGACTAACTGGTCAAAATACTAGTATTAAAATCTAATGATGGAATAGTTTTATTATGGGCAAACAGGAAATTACATGCCATAGTGGAATTAACTTTCCCTTAGCATTAAGAGAATTTCCTGAATACTTACCAGTATGGTTCTGTAAAATTTATTATTTATATGTTAATATGTCAGGGAAAGATGATCTCTTAGACCTTGGAAGATTAAACCATTTGGGATTTTATTTAAGATCAACTGTGTTATTAATAGTGGCAATTAAATTGAAATTAAAAAGCTTTCTCCCTTTACAAACTAAAACACTACTTATAAGTATTTACAGATATCTGGCATGACTTAGTCAAGTCCATAATTTAATTTAAAAAATTAACTGAGTAGCTTTTCTCAGTTTCACGTAAGATACAACTATGTTTAGCCAGCGGTGTACTCTCTAGTTTTAGTAAGTTTAAATTTACTGGTGGCAAAAAACTCCTCCAAGTTTCACCCCTAGCATAGCCCAACCTAAGATTGTCCAGAACACTACTCAGCACATACGCAGAATTCATCACAATGTGCTTTCTCCTCAGAGGTAGATAGGGAAACGCTCTTGACAGATTTGATCATTAACATTCAGGTAAGATTAGCTCTTTTTGGTTCTTCAACCCTCTAGTGAGGGAGTACATGCCCTGACATTACAGCATTTGCTGAGACCTAGTGCTCAACTTGGCAGGGCCTCCTGACTTCAGCCTAGACTAGTCTAGCCATGCCAGTCAACGTAATTGTGAATTCGTGAAAGTAAAATAAAAATTCTCTTATGTCCTTCTCACTTAACTGCTGGGTTTTTTTCGACTTCATGTGTTCTTCCAGCCTTTCAACCCCAATCTCATTTTTTTATTTTCTGGGACCTAAAATACCAATAGCTAGAAATCATGCCTAGGTCCAAAATTCAACTGAATTTTGCCTTTGCCTTAAAATACGGCAAGTATGTGGTTATCATTTTTAGATAATTTTGAATATAGTTTTAGAAGTTGAGACTGGTTTAAGCTTATATTTAATGAAGTTCAGCTTTGTACTGTTTCTAAGAAAAGTACTGATAATCAAGCTACTACAATAAATTACAGGGAAGAGATATTGGTAAAGCCTTTTTCTTTGAAGGCCCCCTGATTCAGGAAAAAATTAGAAGTGCATACATAAGTTTAAATAACCTAATTAATTAGGTAGTTTTATTTTAAAAGAGGAGGGATTTCTATGCATTTTCAGAGAAAAATAAAAAGCGTATCAATTTAATAATCATAGCATATAATGAGTGTTCTTGGATTTCTATTTATAATATACTGTGGATAAAGAAAGACATACATACCCAAAAGCAGTTAGTGAGAGGGATAACTAGACATAGTAGAGGGAACCACAGAGAGGGAAAAACCCACCAAAGAGTTTTTCTTATTTGCAAAGATAGAAGTATAAGACATGGCCCACTGCTTACAGTCTTATTAGAGTCATAATACTGACACATTAAAAATAAAAAACTCATCATGCTTTATGTAATAAATTTAAGAAACTGCTAAATTTGCAGTGCATAGCTGAGTGTTTTAATAGTTAATAGAACAATCCTTGGATTTTTTTTTTTCCATTCCCTGAATACTGTGAAACACTGATATACTTAATTTTAAAATACATATCAGAGGGGCACCTGGGTGGCTCAGTCGGTTAAGCATCTGCCTTTAGCTCAGGTCATGATGCCAGGATCAAGCCCGGCATTGGGCTCCCTGCTCTGCAGGAAGCCTGCTTCTCCCTCTCCCACTCCCCCTGGTTGTGTGCGCTCTCTCACTTACTCTTTCTCTCTCTCAAATAAATGAAATCTTAAAAAAAATAAATAATAAAATACATATCAGATACAGGGTGTTTATTTAATAAGATCTATCAAGTGTGAGAGATTTAAGAAAGAGTAATAAGAAAAATGTTGAAAGAGTTCAAGATACTTAATTTTTCCTATAAAGTCAGGAGGCATAAATGTTAATCCCATGTGACTCATGCAAGTTGTTATGTCAGTTTATCTCTTTTGAAATACAAACAAAAGCTGTCTGTTCAAATACTTTGGTAAAATCGACTGGTTGGTTGATTTAACCCATTTAACTGTTCCACACATGACATTGAGCTACAGTTTCCATACTCTTCATTACACCTGTGTTCAGTATACTCCCCTCAAAAGCATCTTTCATTTTCTGCAGTGATTCTCATTAGGAGAGGTGGGAAGGGGTTCACACTAGAATCTATATATAAATTGAAGATAATCCACTGGAAGAGAATGTGTCTCTTTTTCCCCCCCCCCTTTTTTTCATTAAAGGACACTAATGTTCAGGGAATTGACACAGCATTATGGTAAACAGCATGATCAAGGAAAGAAAGAGATAGGAGGTTTGAATAGGTAGGGTCAGCGAAGACTGAATTTGAAGTATAAAGGTCCCATACCACTGTTTTGGGTTTTGTTTTCTTTCAGGATTTTATTTAAATTCAAGTTGGTTAACATATAATGTAGTATTAGTCTCAGCGGTAGATGTTTTTGTTTTTAATTGAACAAGAGCTTATACCCTTTAATGTATGAGAGTATGGTTGCATTCTGATTATCTGGTGATTGGATATTCTCTTTTTACCTTTAGAATTCAGAAATAGACTTTCTTCATTACCAATAGCAATAATTTTAATGTATTATTTACTTTAGGAAAAAAATGCCAATATTCATGCATGCTTTCTTGCTTTTTGCTTGTAATTATTTATGATAGAAAATAAAATACATACTTGAATTCCAGATACCAATGGATCAGATAACTCTATCCCAATGGCTTATCTTACACTGGATCACCAACTACAGGTAAAAGAGTACTTTCTCCGTGAATGTTTACTTTTTCCTTAGAAAAAGTTTAGAGAATCTATCTAGAAAGCAGACAGTTATGTTCATATCTGTCATCATATATTTATTTATGCTTTTAGTTGGCCTCCTTAAACTTTCTAAAATCAAGTTAAAATGATTCGTTCAGGTAAGTTAATGAAATCTAAAATTGGTAAAATCATATGTTCTTAACAGTTGTCTTAGAATACTTTCATATCTTTGTTTAAGAATGCCAAGAATGGGTGAGGGAGGCACCTGGGTGGCTCAGTCGGTTAAGCGTCCAACTCTTTGATTTTGGCTCAGGTCATGATCTGAGGGTCATGAGATCAAGCCCCACATCGGGCTTTCCACTGGGTGTGGAGCCTGCTTGAGATTTTCTCTCTCACAAAAAAAAAAAAAAAAGGAATGCCAAGAATAGCATTTTTGCTTTTTAATTTTAGTGCTATAGTATAAAATTTACATGAGCTCATTTCTACTTAATAGATCTCATGATAACTAATGTTCATAGTGACTGAAAATATAAGTAATACACTTTAGTGTCTCCTCATCAGTATGAGAGCCATAAACTTCTTTTTGTATAATATGGTTTGACAACCTGAAATGTAAAGCCAGAGGCCAGTGATACTCTGGTCATGATTCTCTGTAATAGCAAAAGTGTTAAAACAGCAAGGTGAATTTAAGCTCTGAGTTAACTCTGACAAAAGGACACTGAAATTTTCTAGGCCATGGTTTAACACTTATTTTTAAAAGACCATTGCTTTAGTGCTATAAAAACATATCACAGTCACTGTCTTAACTCTCAGCTTGATATTAAGATTTGATTTAATTATGTGTTAACAGTCCTGATTTATTTTCAGCCTCTAGCACCGTGCCCAAACTCCAAAGAATCTATGGCAGTGTTTGAACAGCATTGTAAAATGGCACAAGAATATATGAAAGTTCAAACAGAAATTGCATTGTTATTACAGAGAAAGTAAGTTATCTTTTATGAATAAAAGACATTAGTATTTTGAGTTTAAAATATGTTAAGGTGAAATATTGTTGGGAGACATGAAAACTTTGTAATTTTTAGAACTAATCGTTAAGCATACAGTTGACCCTTGAACAGCTTGGGGCTTGGGGTGCTGAACCCCCACTCATTCAAAAGTCCACATGTAACTTTTGACTCCCCAAAAATGCTAATAGCCTACTGTTGACCAGAATTCTTACCAATAACATAAACAGTCTGTTAACACATATTTTATATGTTATATGTATTATGTACTGTATTCTTAGAATAAAGTAAGCTAGAGAAAAAGTTTTATTAAGGAAATCCTAAGGAAAAGAAAATACATTTACAGTACTGTACAAAAATCCCTCTATAAGTGGATCCATGTAGTTCAGACCCATGTTGTTCCAGGGTCAGCTGTATTTCCAAGTTGGAGGTTTTATGTGTATTCATCTTTAAGTTTGAAGCAACTTTTGGCTATTTTTCAAGTAAAACTCAACCCTTTGACTACATATATTAAAATTAGGGAAAATAAACTGTGTTATATAAACATGTTTTATGTTCTAAGAATTTTAAAGCTAAAAGCTGTTTAGATTTATAGTTATAAAGATTTATTATTTCCTTGGACATAGACAAAATAATCTGATTTACTAATATTCAGCTGTGCTTTATCTTAAAAGTATTTTATAGATATATTTTTTCTAGGTATATGTTTAGGAGAGTAGAATTACTTTATTTTATACCTGTGAGTGTTTTTCTGGGGAGTTTTATATTCACATGTGTTTTTCTGAGAGTTATAAAGAGGCTGCCTTCCTCCTCCCTTTTTTAAGAAAGCCAATTTTCATGCTCCTTTATTTGAAATTCTTAAAAAACAGAGCAAAAACTTCAGTTTTCTTAAGCATGATCCTCATGAAATTTTATACCTCTGAAGCTGAATTATTGTGGTAACTGAAATGAAGTGCTATAGGACAAAATCATGGCAACTATATGTATACATGGTAATAGGATTCCCTCTGTTAATTTTAATCTAAATGAAAATTTCTTGCTTCCTGAAGTAATTTGTGGGAAGTTTTGTTTGTTTGTACTTAAAAAAAAAAAAAAAAAAAAAAAACTCCTTAACAGTTTACTGTTAAAGTGATTTCAACTCAGTACTTTAAAGGCTATATAGGAAATAAATATTAGAGTCTGCAAATTGTGAAGCTAATTGTGGAACTGTTGACACTTTATGTTAAAAAAGAAACAAAACACCTCTTTCTTTTACATATTTAATCTGTACTTTTTTCATATTTGTTCATTTGAAAGAGGAGTTCTTTGCTGGAAAAAATAAATGATGGATTGAGGGAATGTGATAACTTTGACAGTTTTATTCAGTTTTAAATACTTTAAATGAGAAATATGAGAAAATCATCTAGAGGCTTTTCATTAATTATTCAGTTATATCCAGTAACTTCACTTTAGGAATAAGTATTGAACATCTCCCAAAGTTTATCAGGCTATAAAAGTCTCTAATGGTCTTTCCTGAAAATGTTCAGAAAAGTGAATAACTCATTTGAAAGTGGTACTTTGTATTGTTCTCACTTTTAAAATCGGAAATAGATTTAAGTTGATAGCATCTATTTTAATTAGCTTGCACATGTTTTATGAAGCCCCCACTTTGCACTGTAGTTAAAGAAGACTGGGACTTCAAAACATGAATAAAAAGTTCAAGAGTTAAAAGTGGAATGTGAATGAATGATAAAACATCATGTTATTTTCCTGTGGTCAGAGCCCTTCCCCAGCCTTTTTTCTTCTTCCTGCACAAAAGGGATACCAAATAAAATGTTTTGAAACTTTTATTATACCATTTTATCTGCATTCACTAATTGTCTAATAAGTACAGTTACTTACAAAAAGATTTTGGTGTTTGTATGGGTACACAGAAGAGTGAGTGATAGTTTCCATTCTAGCCTACAAGTGTGTTTGAGTAGTGTATGTAAGATGCATAATGATCAACCCAGAATAAAAGTCCTAATAAGTTGAGCTCATCAGTTACTAAGGTATGAATTTTTCTATCATGTACAATATTTTATTATGTGGTACTTGTTTTTAGGCAAGAACTAGTTGCAGAACTGGACCAGGATGAAAAGGACCAGCAAAATACATCTCGTCTGGTACAGGAACATAAAAAGCTTTTAGATGAAAACAAAAGTCTTTCTACTTATTACCAGCAATGCAAAAAACAACTAGAGGTCATCAGAAGTCAGCAGCAAAAACGACAAGGCACTTCATGATTCTCTGGGACCTTTAAATTTTAAAATATGCAAAGAAAGACTTTTTTTTTTTTTTTTTTTTTAAAGCAAACAAAAGCCCTTATAATGACAGTTCATGAGTGTTAGCTTTTGGGCGTGTTCTGAATGCCAACTGCCTATATTTGCTGCATTTTGTTTCATCGTTTATTTTCTTTTTCTCATGGTGGACATGCAATTCAACTGTCTCCTTGCATAACATGGGGGCATCTGTGACTTGAATAAGCAGCAGTTCTCAACTTCAGAACAGATGCAGTGAACCATGGCTGTATATGCATGCTCATTGTGTGAAGGCTAGCCTAACAAAAACGGGGTATCAAACTAGCTGCTATGTGCAAACATCGTCTTTTTTTCGAGGTGGAACCTCAAGAATGATTTTGTTCTTGTATCTCATCTCAAAAAACAATTTTTTTTCCAAAAGATGGTATATACCAAGTTAAAGACAGGGTATTATAAATCTAGAATAATCAGTGGTACATTAATAGAAATGCAGAACATTTAGGGATAGTTGCAGGTGAGGGCTCTGATGCCAGCATCCTTCAATCAGTACTGAACTTAGTTCCATCCATAAAATATTGAAAGGTAAGTGGCGGCTGCTGTATTTAATAAAAGCATATTTCATTGGACTAAAATTTGACTATGATACACTGAACAAAATGGAACCCTTTTTTTTAAGATAAAAAGATTTTTAATTTTGTGATTGCGTGTATGTGTTGAAACTGTAAAGATTTTATCACTCTAATATTATTATCTCTTAAATGAAATTAAAAGGTAAATGAACACGATCCAGCTTAAATGATCATTCCTTCCTGCAATGATTATTGGATTGTTTTAGTGTATATTTGAAAAACTAAAGAGAAATAATGGAAAATGGAAATAATTGCTCCAGCTAAAAGGCTTGGGCTTAGATTTCTTTTATGATACCAAAAGAGTAAAAAACCTGGCAAATCAGGAGAAGTTAGTAAGGAAATTAAAAAAGTAAATATAAATTCTTCAAGTATACTATTTATCAACATTGGAAAATTGATTTTCCTTGCAAGCCCATCCTAGAATGCCTGCTGCCTTTCAACACTTTCAAGGGAATTTCGACACTTATAAAGAGAAAATTTATATTGTTAACAATAACTTTGCTACCAACTTACTTTGAAAATAAAAGTAATAAAAAAACTTCATTGAAATAATAGACTATATAAGCTCTATTTTTTCAGTTGGTATTAAAATAAATCACATTTTGATACCAGTACAAGGTGTCTTTTAAACAAGGATGTCATCAACCTCATTTTTTATAGCATTAATGTTTTATGAAGAGAAAATTAAAAATGAAAGCATAATTGCTGTGATTATTAGAATTATATCATGATTGTATTGTAGTTTTGCTCTGTTTCAGATAAGCAAGTTGATCTAAGAAGTTATCAAAACTATTCTTAAAAATGCTAAAGCAGGTAACTTTTTCTTCTGTTATTTTTTTCCTCCTCCCACTGAGTTTTATAATGTATTCCTGTGTATACAAGCAATAAAGGTAAAAGACAGTTTGTACTAAACTGTGTCATTTTTAGCTTCCTCAGAATCTATTATTAGAAAGTTTTCAGTAAATAAATGTCTACCATTACTTTATTTAAATAAAAGAAGGGCTATCATTCCCAAATAATTTGATTACATAATTGGAAGTATACTGGTCTCAACACATCAGTAGTAAAATAAAATTGGCATAAAAAATAACTGTAGACTAAGGAAAGGTATAACTCATTCATAACATTGCTGCTTGTGATATGTATGTGTCACTCCACTAAAAGGGACCTAGTCACTGTTCATAGACTTTTCTGATTATCTCAGAGCATGAGATATTCAAGTGTGGATGCTAATGCTCGACCTTTCCATTAGGATTTAATTTAACATTATAGATTTCAGATTTTATTCCTAGTCATTAACGTGTTTTTGGTATGTATTACATACTTAAAGGGAAAATATTATTATTACATGTAATCACTTCATAAAAATCTCCAGTAGGAAAATGGAAGAAAATAGTAGTGTTAAGTCATGGTGCCAAGTGCAAAAAAAGGCTGTTGAGCACTTGCTGGTTTGTTTACAGTAAGTTCCTGGGGATTCTCATACTGTATCCTAGACACTGAGTGTACTTCAGCCTACCTGGTTTTAAAGTAGTTGTGTTGCAAAGCTCATACTTTTTAAGTCCTGATTATCCTTAATGGGAGAAAAGGGCAGCAGGGATAATTAAAATCCACAGCCAGTTTTATCCAGCATCCTCACCCATCAAACCTTCAAACAGATTTTAACAGGGAGCCAAATTTTTCATTTGTAAAAAAGTTTTACTTTTTATTCTAACCCTCATTTTTGGGTAGAAATGGTGAACCAGACAAACAAGTGGAATAAAGGCCCTCATGTAAGAAATTCACAAACAATCCCTAATTACATTTCATTTTTTCCTCGAGGGAAAGATAAAGTCTAGAGAGAGACACTCCTTAGCATTAAAAATAACTTTTTTTGAATCAAATGAAAATCATTTAACATTACTTTATAGGATTACCGCCTGTTGAAGATATTTGCTTAAAAGTTGTTTACAAATGTTTGACTCTTTTACTCAACCATTTTAGAGTATTTAATGTGTTTTTTCCTCCCAAGTTTCTTCCGTGTTCCTAGTTTCAGCTCCTGCTTGTAGCCAGATATCACAGGCCTTGCCTGTGAAACACTTTTCTTTCTGTAAGTGTGTGGTTTTCAGCAGTCAGCTCCTCTCTTCAAATGGTAGGAAGTTCTACTTCTGTCATTCGGAACATTTTATGTAAAACAATGTAATGCAGAAATCCTTGTGCATACTGTATACTTGAAGGAAGCTTTTTAGATTTATTTTTGTTTGTAATAAAATTCAGATTGTTATTCTAAACTTGTTTATAAAAATGGTTAATGATTTATATCAGCAAATGAGCTATGAGGTATTCTGCTGTAGCAGTGTGTTTACCTTACACAAAATCAAATAAAAACTGAAAAGTGAGTATTCTTAAAATACTCAGCACAGTTGTAACGTAATCATGATTTTTGAGAGGCTAAATGACAGGCCAATTAACATATCCATCTATAACAATTCACTTTTTTTTGTTAAATGGGTACTCTTCACAGTTTCATTAAATAATGATTTATATGAAGTACAACATGGTATATACATTACTGAGTGATTCTTCTCATTAGAAAACTGATTTCCTGTAATATACTACATTACGTTAAGTATTTCATTCCTTTATCAACCTCCTAGCCTCCCAACCATCACATATGCACACACACATACACTCACAAACTCGACCTTCACTTTAGTAGATCAGCCCATTCATCGTTCACTCATTCCTTTAACAAATATTTATTGAGCACCTATTACTTAAGTGAAGCTCCTGTGGCTAATGCCAAGTTACATGTTCTCTTTAGTCACATGGTAGTTAGCTCGTATTTCCATTTCACAGATGGAAAATTAGGCTCCTAAAGGTTAAGACTTGTTCCTGAGTCTGCTTTTCACCCATCATCTCATGCAAGGGGACTCTGTGGCCACTATCAGCCCATGATGTGAAAGGAACATGAGAAATGCAAATGATGGGAAGATATGAGGTCACTTGCAGGCACAGAGACTTTGTGACCACTCTGTAGATCACAACAAAGCCAACACTGAGACCCACACATGTCTTCTAAACCCAAGTCTGTGCTCTAAACCACTCTGCCATACTGTAATTTAAAACTTGCTGAGTGCTTCAGCTTTCACATCCATTTATTCGATGAGTGGGGTGTCTTCTTCACTCTTCTACTCCCCTCAGCTGAAAAACAGGCTAAAAATGGAAATACAAATAATGATATTGTGAGGCTTGGCCTAGAAAGAAGACTTGTTCTCCACTCTCAGGAAAGGCTTACTCCAGGCTTTTTCATTTTTGGTTTGTTTTTAGTATTTTTGTTTTTACCTTTTTGTTTTGTTTTGTTTTAATTGGGATACAATTTTTATACAAGAAACTGCATCCATTTAATGATGTTTAATGCAGTTTATTGAGTTTTGACATGCTCTTAGACTCGGGAAGCCATCCAACAAACAAAATACGTACTGAACATTTCCTTCCCCCCTCCCCAAGGTCCCCTATGCTCCTTTGCAGTCCTTCCCTCCCTTTACTCCATGCCCCACAGTGCTTTCTAACAATAAAAATTTGTTTGCATGTTCTACAGTTTTAAACAATGAAATCATTCAGTATGTACTTTTATTTTTAAGCTTTTTTCTCCCTCTTGAATAGTTGTTTTAATTCCTTTGACAGGAATTTTAATTAAACCATTCCTAGTGATACTTGAGAATCTTTCAGTATCAGTCTTCAAGAGAAAATGGATTTGAAGAGGCAATCGATGCATCCATTGTGGCCAGCTTGTGTCGTGTCATCTTCTGAAACACTTAAGATCACTTAATTTTTACATTTTTACAGAACCCTAATACTTTGCTTACAAAATCCCTTAGGTTGTTTGTTAAAGTAAGCCTGTTCCTCTCTGCATTTAGGTGTTAGAAATGCAACACGGACGTGGACAATAGCATATTGGTAGGTTCATGGTAGTTTTCAGCAAATACGGTTGATCAGTGTAACTTTTTAAAAGTTCTTTTCATTTTCATTTAGATTGCGACTGCTGTTTTGCTTGCTCAGAAACCTGGGAAACTATATTTTAAGTAACCAGTCTTCTGTATATAGTATTTGATATGGATATCTCCTACCGATGCTGTCGGTGGTCCTGTCTGCTATAGAGGTGCCCATGGAAGTAAGATTACACTGGTAGTTCATGTACTGCTTACTGCCAGGGCCTGTGTTCCTTTTCTATCAGTAATTAGTAACTGCTCTCAGAGTTTCTCATCCCTACTGCCATGAGGTCCCACCAAAACTGAGTTTGTGAAATGAACTGCGCTTCATGTCAGTTCTCAGTGAAGTCTTTGAGAATCAAATGCTTGTTTAAGTTTGTCTGAGTTTCCTGGTGCACTTTTAAAGGTTTTATTTATTTGAGAGAGAGAGAGTGCATAAGAGGGAGGGCGAGGTGAGGAGGGGCAGAAGAAGAAGGGGAAGCGGACTCCCCGCTGAGCAAGGAGCCCGAGGTGGGGAAGGCAGACGTGGGGAAGGCAGACGCTTAACCATCTGAGCCACCCAGGCACCTCCATGGTGCTTTTATATTTCCAAGTAATGAAATGCATTTTTTATCCTGTAGTTTAGTGGTCAGTGATCTCTGATAGATGCCATATGACATCAGGATAATTGCTTTGAATACACCAGAAATCACTGAGGAAATGCTGGATATTTATCTTCTGAAAAACAAAAGTAATGTACAAAATGCAGTTAACTCCTCAGACTTGTTTTTTGTTTCTCCTTGTGGATACCTCTTCTTTAGTTATTATAGGAAAAACTGCATTAATCATTGATTGATAAATTTACTAAATTCAAATTAGAGCCTGAAGAAACCTGAAAATGGGTGTAACTTTTTTTATGGTTGAAGAAAAAATGATGATATTACGTCACACACCTTTTTGACTTTTAATCCATTTCCTACAAAGATACTACCTAATATCCATCTAAAATGTCATGAGCATATTACTTGCAAAAATCGATACCACTCTTGTTTCTTCCATGAGAACCTTTTAACAGATACTGTTTCTTTGAGGATTGGAAACATGTCTTTATTCTCTCAGCTGCATATGAAATTGATAAGCTATATGCTTACAATCTATTTCAGTACATTTGGGCTATTATATATTAGTACATTGCCTCACAATAGTCTTAAAAATTCATACTAAAACTTATGTCTGACTACATAATTCTGTCTTCCCATTCATGATTCCACATTTTATGTACAGGAGACTTTAGGAAGTGGTACAAAGTTCCTTGGCCTAAGCTGAGTATTTCTTCCCTTTTTACTTTCTTTTGCAGCCATATCAGAAAAGTCTCTAGTCTCTGTGCTCCATGTACCCTGTGATTCATAAGGACATAAGTTTGGCTGCTGCCCAGAATAATAGCTTAAACAAGATAGCAGTTTTTTCTTTCTCACAGAAAAAGTTTAAAGTAATATAGTAGCTTTGCTCATTTGCCTCATAGCCAAAGAGGAGAGGGAAAGGGCAAAAGCAGCGAAGGTGCTCTCACTCACGCTCTCATCCATTTGCCAGAACTTCGGCACATGCATTTACCCTACCTGCAGGGAGGCTGCGAATGTCTGTATAAATGGACAGCCATATGCATAACTAGAAGGTAGGAATTCAGTTACAAAAGAAGGATCAAAAAGATTTAGAGGACAAGTAGCCTTCACCACACCCTCATAAGGAAACTAGACCACGGCCGCCTCTCTGTCCTCTGTCCTCCCCTCTCTCCATAATATGGGAAGTAGGCAAAGCTGGCCCCTCACAAGAATGCACAGTAGTGTCAAAATCCAATCAGTATGGTGTGCTTAAAGATTTCCCTGTATTTGTAATTGGTGCAGCTTAAAAAAATAAAACTTCAAAACGTGAAGTTAGAGCACTAGTAAAATGGACAGCAGTTCAAACCCAGTTCTTCTTAGCTTCAAGGCTTACAAAAATCTCCTTTTTAATTAGTTTAGAACTTAGAATACATTTTCTGATAGACTTAATAAAGGGGAGAACTAGGTTCCTAAGCATTATTTTATAAAAGTCGATTTGATCTTTAATGGATATGAAATAATGTCATTGAATGGAATAGTTCCAACAAAGACTATGAGAGAAAACAAAAGTGATGTGGTTGTTGTCTTCAGATACTGACATTGTAGTAATTTTTCCCTTTTAAAAGTTCTTTACCTTTTTACTGTTTTCTGCACAGTAAAAATTAAAACCAGAAGGACACCACCTTACACATCACTCTAACCATGTTTCTTCGTCAGGAACTCAGGGCCCTTTGCCCTGGGCACAACCATTGGAGCCCTTGCATGAATCCCACAGGGGCAGGAACTTCCTTTCTGTACTGGCCCCAACCTGGATCCTTGCAGGTAGGGGTGGACCCAAAGGGTGGGGATTCCAAAGGTTCGCCTATGGATTTTGGTGAGGATGAAGCACAGTCTCAACAAGAGGAGTAAAAAAAATAAGAACTTGAATGGCTTTAAATTGTTTTCTTATTAATACACATTCTAGGGACCCCAGCCTCTGAAATTCTGCTTCACAATGACAGGCTATTATTCAGGGATATAAACTTTTTTTTCCAGTTCCTGAAGTGATTCTGTTATACTGGCAGATTGTAGAATTACCTACACCATAGAGCAGATAGAAGGAGTATTGCCATTGTAAATTTTCTAGATTCTAACCCATCTAGTGTTGTGAAAGCTAAGAGAAAGAGTATGATATTGTGATGTATAATAAATCTATATTCTCTCTTCCTGTTCTGGCACACAGCTGGAATTTCTTAGGTGGTGAGAACAATAAAGATGTCTTGCTTTGTTAATGAGGTGATTTTTTGGAAAGCCCCTAGGTGGTGGGGATGGAAGTTGGTTGCCAGGGAGGCCAACTACCTGGTTAGAAGGTGGTAACTTTCTTTCATCCACCCGCCCCCCACTTCAGGGGGGAAAGGAGGGCTGGAGATGGAATTCAGTCACCAAAGGCCAGTATTTTAATTGGTCATGCCTGTGTAATGGAGCTCCCATAAAAACCCCAAAAGAACAAGATTCAGGTTGCTCCTGGGTTGGTAAACACATGAAGATTGGAGAAGAGTGATGCACACGGAAGGCATGGAAACTCTGCGCCTTTTCCAAATACCTTGCCCTGTGCATCTGTTCCATTCAGCTGTTCCTGGGTTATATTCTTTTATAACAAACTGGTGATCTAGTAAGTAAAATGTTTCTCCCAAGTTCTATGAGCCACTCCAGCAATTAATCAAATCCAAGGAAGAGATTGTT